TGTCCACCTGCTTCTGTGTCCTCCTCTCATGACCCATCCACCCGCTCCCGTGTCCTCCTCTAGCGGGCTGTCCACCTGCTTCTGTGTCCTCCTCTAGTGGCCCATCCACTGGCTCCTGTGTCTTCCTCTCATGACCCATCTACCCTCTCCCATGTTCTCCTCTAGCGGCTCATCAACCAGCTCCCATGTCCTCTCATGACCCATCCACCCACTCCCGTGTCCTCCTCTAGTGGGCTGTACGCTGGCTCCTGTGTCCTCCTTCCCTCTTCCTGCCTTGCGGCCTTGTTTTCTGTCCACGGTGTGCTCCTGCTCCCGTGGTTGCTCTGCTGAGGTGCCGGCCCCTCCTGTCACCACTGAGAAGAAAGTCCATCAGATAACCCAGCACATGCACTGGATGGTGGAGCTGCCAGGGGCTGGTCCCTGCTCTGTGGTACTTTCTAGAACCGTGTCCTGCCCCCAGGTGATGCAGCACCCTTCTGAGGGTGGCCAAGTGCTAAGCCTCTGCAGCAACATCAAGGAGACCCCGGTCAAGGTGGCTGAGATCTGGATCTTCTCCTTGTCCAGCCAGCCCATCGACCATGAGGATGGCGCCATGCAGGCTGGCCCCAAGGCCAAGTCCACAGGTGAGTGCAGCCGCAGGAGCACCCACTGCCTTGCATCCTTGCCACAGAGACAACGCCTCCTGGCCACCGTCCCGTCGGGTGTGAGAAGTCGAGGAGGGGAGGCAGGGCTCTGCGGGCCGCTCTCTTGGCTCCAGCCTCACAGCAGAGTTGCGCGTACTGTGCAGGACCCTGGGCTGCGGAGTGTCCCCGCCCTGCCCTCGGCGGCTGTGACAACGTCAGTGACCACTGAGTACGTCATGGGGTTGATGGCAGAGCCCGCCAGGGTCTAGGCACAGGGCCTGGCACAGCTGTCACCACCATCACAGTTGGGGTCACTGACCCCCCTGAGGTGAGGGAGGACAGGCAGGGGACTCCAGTGCAGCTAAGATCCGTGATGAGCAGGAAGGGCCGCGTGGACCACTGTGGGGGTGGGGCACGTGATGGTAGAGAAGTGCGGCCCTTCCACCCTCCCCTATTGTCCACCTGCCGGGGCTCCCCAGTGTCCTTACTTGCTGCCCGCGGGGCCATCTCCTCGCGATCCCCACGCGTCTAGGGGCCTGTCTTTCGATTGCCAGCCCATTGCTGGGATGCGGGTCAGAATCTCGTGGTGCTCTCCCTTCCATTTGCTCGTCCCACAGATAACTACTCCGAGGAGGAGTACGAGAGCTTCTCCTCGGAACAGGAGGCCAGCGACGATGCCGTGCAAGGGCAGGTAACCTGGGGCTGAGTGTGACGGGGCCACCCAAGCCACATGGGGACCGTGGGGCCTGCAAGGAGACGCCGGCTTCAGGGCTCCCAGCGCCCTGTGCCCAGCTCCCGCCAAGACGCCCCAGCAGCTGTGCAGCCCCCTGCAGACAGGCCCAGGACCCTTCAGAGCCACCATCACGAGGGTGGCAGGGGCAGGAGAGGCTGGGAGCCGGGCCGCCGTGTGCGGCGCCTCGTTCTTCCATCCCGGGGGCCCTGGAGTGCATCAGTAGACACTCTGGGGCACCGGGGAGGCCGCTCCCTCTGTCAGCTCCTGGGAGACTGGCCTCCGCCGAGCCGCCTGGGCGGCTGCCTGTCCTCGTGAAAAGGCCCAGCCAGCAGGCGCGTGGTGGGCACTGGGGGTCCCAGGGGCCCCGTGCAGGCTGGCCCCGGCCGTAGGCCCCATGTGTGTCCTTGCAGGACCTGGATGAGGATGACTTCGATGTGGGGAAGCCCAAGAAGCAGCGGCGCTCGCTAGTAAGAACGACGTCCATGACCAGGGTCGGTGGAGACTGGTTTTACTAATGCTGGGGAGGGTGGAGGGCGGGGCCGGGTGGCGGGCACGTGGCTGCGGTGTCAGCCCAAGCCTTGGGGGCGTAGGCCGGTTGAGCCCTCAGGAGGGCGGGGTTGGGAAGCAAGGGGATCACAGTGGGCACACGTGCCATCTGCTGCGGTCCAGCTCTGTGGGCTTCTCCTGAGGTCCAGTCTCTTCCCCTAGATACAGTGTGAAGGTGGGCAGACCCCGTGCCGCGGTCTTGTCCTGGGAGGGAGGGCTGTGAGGCGCCCGGCCATTGTCAGTTATGGGGCATCCCTGGGCTCACCCCGGGCTGGTGGCCACAGGCCCAGAGGGCAGCAGACAAGACAGGGTGGCTGCCTTCCTGCCCAGGTCACTCTACAGGCAGAGCCAGGGGGCTGTTCCCTTCCTGCTTGTGCCCAGACCTGCCCTGTGTGAGGCCAGTCCCCCACGTCTAGTGGGGGGCCAGTGTCCGGCCCACCTGGGGGGTTTGGCAAGGCTGTCAGGCTTCTCTTCCAGGAGGAAGGTTTGGGGCAGAGGCCTCAGCCTGTCATAGAATGTCCACCGCTGGGCGCCTGGAGCTCCTGGGAGAGCTCACAGCTCACAGCTGCTCTCCATCTGCCGGGCCGCGGCTCCAGGCCAGGCCAGTGCCATGGGTGGCCAGGGAAGCTGTGGTGCTGTTGGGCTGTGGGGCACAAGCCCATCCCCAGAAACTGCCGCACCCTCTGGTGGGGCCAGGAGGCCAGGGCTGGTTCTGATAGATCTGGGGAAGCGCGCTTTGTGTGCTGCGACTTGGCAGCCACGCTGCCGTGGCAGCACCTGGTTGAGCCTCAGTTCTGAGGCCCGAGTGCACGGCTTCTCTGGAGGGACCATGGGCCTCCCTTTATAGGGTTGGCCCCCCTGAGGGTGGCTGAGTGGCCGCCTCGCTCAGTGGCCAGAGCTGAGCCTCTGTGGGCCCAGGCAGCACCAGGAACAGATGGAGCTCGGGCTCTCCACTGAGCCCTCGCCATCCCTCTGCCCACCCCTACCCACCCCCACGTCCTGCTGGAGTGAGGTGGTGCCTCTGAAAGGGGCCACTGAGCCCAGGAAGGGCCAGCAGCCTCATCTGCATGGAGGTTTCTGGAAGAACCATAGAGTTGGCACACGCCCTCCGTTTGATTCCCCTTCGCTGGGTCTGGGACTCTGGGCTCTTCCCTGGGTCCGTTCCTAAGGCTGCCCACAGCCGTGGCTTCAGATGCTCATGAAAATGCTTACTGTTGTTCAACGTGTGAGAGCTGCGTTTGAGTTCATAAGTGGCACAGCGTGTGGAGCCCGCCCTCCTGCCGAGGCCGCACTCGCGGGCCCGGGGCGCTGGCCTCGCTGTGTCCTCCTAAGGGAAGCAGCTCCCATGGGTGTGACTCTGCCCTGCTTGTCTTGCAGCAACAAAACTTCAAGCAAAAAGTCGTGGCGCTGCTGCGGAGGTTCAAAGTGTCAGACGAGGTGAGTGGGCCCCCCGCCCCTTCCCCTCACACCCACAGCGAAGCGTCCAGGCTGGGGGTTCTGGAGGCCAGTTCTGGGCCAGGTCCTGGCTCTACCGCTTACTGTCCACATGGCCTTCTGGGCATCGCCCTCTTTGTCCTCAAGAGCGGCTAGTGGTGGTGCCCACCCCCCAGGGACACGTTGAGGGTCGAGCAGAGGCCTCAGATAGCCATCTGTGCCAGTGAGCAGACTGGGAGGAAGGCCACATGTCATCATCTATAGGGGTTGTGACCCAGGGTTTTTGTGTTTCGTGTCTTTTTATAAATTGACTTTATTTTTAGAGCAGTTTTAGGTTCATAGCAAAATTGAGCAGAAAGTACAGAGTTCTCATATACCCCGTCACCATGCATAGCCTCCCCCACTGTCAACATGCCATTTGTTTTTAAAATTTCTTCTTTTAGCTTTTTCTGGTCTCCACATTTTATGTGATGAGTTTGCATAACTTTTATAACCAGAAGAAGAATACCTTGGTTTTTTTTAGTGGGGTCAGAGGAAAATTAGCCTACAGGTTCTGGACCCACCTGGGAGAGGTGGCGTTCAAGTATGTGAGCCCCAGGTGTCGTCATCACACATGATCACACAGCACCCAAAGTGCATGGAGCCGCCTGGAAACGGTGGCTACACGTCCACACACACGAAGGCTGTCCCCTTGGAGGCGGCGGCTGGTCAGCTGCTCTTCTCAGATGCTGGTGCTGAGACAGGCGCACCTCAGCCTCCGTGCTCCCCAAATTCACCTACGATTCAGCATGATTCTTGTCCAATCCCCAGCTCCCCTTCTGCAGAAATCAACAAGCTAGTCCTAAAACTTACGTGGAGATGCCAGGCACCCAGAATAAACAAAACCATCTTGAGAAAGAAGAACAAAGTTGGAGGACTCATGCTTTCTAATTTCAAAACTTACTACAAAGCTGCGATCATCAAGACCGTGTGATAGATCAATGGAATAGAGTTAGAATCCAGAAATAAATCCTCTATTTATAGTCAATTGATTTTCAACAAGGATGCCAGGCCCATTCAATGGGGAAAAAATGGCCTTTTCAGCAAATAGTGCTGGGACAACTGGAGATCCACATGCAAAAGAATGAAGTTGGACTCCTACCTCACACCATGTACAAAAATTAACTCAAAATGGATCAAAGACTAAATGTAAGAGCTAAAACCATAAAACTCTTAGGAGAAAACATGGGAGTAAATCTTCTTGACCTCTGTCAGGCGTTGGCTTCTTAGATATGACACCAAAAGAGCAGGCAAGCAAAGAAAACACGCTAAGTGGGGTCACATCAATGTTTAAAACTTCTCTGCTCCATGTAATGCCACCAAGAAAATGGAACAGCCATAAGACAGGAGAACGTTTTTGCAAATTATATATCTGATAAGGGACTTGTATCCAGAACATAAAAAGAACGCTTACAGGGGCCGGCCCTGTGGCTTAGCGGTTAACTGCGTGCGCTCCGCTACTGGCGGCCCAGGTTCAGATCCCGGGTGTGCACCGATGCACTGCTTCTCTGGCCATGCTGAGGCGGTGTCCCACATACAGCAACTAGAAGGATGTACAACTATGACATGCAACTATCTACTGGGGCTTTGGGGAAGAAAAGGAGGAGGATTGGCAATAGATGTTAGCTTAGAGCTGGTCTTCCTCAGCAAAAAGAAGAGGATTGGCATGGATGTTAGCTCAGGGCTGATCTTCTTCACCAAAAAACAAACAAACAAAAAAAAACACAACCCAACAGTAAAAAGACAACCCCATTAAGAAATTCATTGTCTAGTTTAACACTTGAACAAATGATCTGACGAGACATTTTTCTCAAAAGAAGATCTGAAACAGCCAGTAAGCCTTTGAGAAGAAGCTTGGCATTACTAGTCGTCAGGGAAATGCAAACCAGAACCACCGTGAGACACCACTTAATATTCACTAGGGTGGCCATGATCGAGAAGATGGAAAATAACAAGTGTTGCTGAGGATGAACAGCTGGAACCCTCCCACACTGCTCGTGGGAATGTGAAAGTGTGCAGCCACTTTGGAAAACAGTCTAGCACTCCCTCTAAAGTTAAATACACAAACTAGACACTTGCTGAACACCCAGCAATCCCGTTCCTGGGTGCTTACCTCTGAGAGATGGAAACATGTCCATACAAAGACTGATACACAGATATTCACAGAGCTTCATTTGTTACAGCAAACACTGGCAATAGGCCCAGTGTTGTCCACGGGTGGTTGGTTAGATGCACTGTGGTCCATCTTGCCGTCAAGTGGATCCCGACTCCTAGCGCCCCTGTGGACAACAGAGGGAACGCTGCCCAGTCTGTTTATGCCATCCTCTCACCCTCCGATGCTGTATCAGACAAGGCCCTGCTGCTGTTCATAGGGTTTCATGGCCAATTTTTTCAGAAGTGGATGGCCAGGTCCTTCTTCCTGGTCTGTCTAGTCTGGAAGCTCCACTGAAACCTGGCCACCACGGGTGACCCCGCTGGTATTGGAAACCCCGGTGGCAGAGCTTTCAGCATCACAGGCACACACAGCCACTGCAGTATGACAACCGACAGGCAGGTGTTGAGTGCCAAATCTTAACCACGAGACCACCAGGGCTGGCTGAAAAGGAGTGAGCTGTTGACAAATGCAGCACACCACAGATGACTCTTAAATCCATCGTGCTGAGTGAGAGGAGCCCGACAGAAGGCTGTACACTGTGCAGTTCCACTTATATGACATTCTGGAAAAGGCCGGACGCATGGGGACAGAAGTCACTTCAGTGCTTGCCTGGGGAGGAGGGGGACTGCAAGAGGGCAGGAGGACTCCCTGGGGAGGATTGTGGTAGTGGCCACACATCGCCCATGCCTGTTGCAGCGCTACCTTGCACTCTAAAGGGTGCGTTTGCGTGTTATGGTACGCCTCCACAGCGGGCTCACGAGAGGGCCAGCGGAGGCCAGGGGAAGAGTGGCCAGCCGTGCCCAGTGCCCGGGCGACGGGAGGTCCCTGGGGGGCCACCCTACATCTGGAATAGCTGGACTGGTGGAGTGTGCTGGAGAAGGGGTGCTTGGTGGCTCTGTGCCCCTTCGTGTCTGTCTCGCAGACGCCCCTTCCCGGGCCTTTAGCTGGCCTGCCGAGGGGACCCGCCTGCTGGCCCTCACACATCTGACCTCGCTATAGGTCCTGGACTCAGAGCAGGACCCTGCGGAGCATGTCCCCGAGGTGGAGGAGGACCTGGACCTTCTTTACGACACGCTGGACATGGAGAACCCCAGCGACAGCGGCCCCGACATGGAGGACGACGACAGCGTCCTCAGCACCCCCAAGCCAAAGCTCAGGTGAGCACACCGCCAGCCGGCCCAGCTGCTTGTGGGGGCTGGAAGGAACGAGGTTTGTGGGAGAGGAGGCCCTTGGGGCGTGGGCTCTGGGTGGGGACATCGGGAGTTGTGGGTGCTGACAGGCGTCCAGCCTGCAGGGTTTGTAGAGGGTGAGGGGTAGGGAAGTGGCTGGACCAAGTTTGCATTCTGGAAAGATCTCTCTGGAATCTGTCAGGAGCACGAAGAGAGACCAGTTAGGAGGCAGTTGGGGTCTTCCCTGCCAGAGGCCGTGGTGTCAGGGATGAGGGCGACTAGGAAGGTGTGTGGGAGGCCAGAGCTCCAGGCGCAGGGCGGGGGGGACGTGGGCTGGGACCGGGTTCTCCCAGGGCGCTGGCTGGGCGGGTGGGGCACCCGTCACAGGAGGGTGACCAGTGAGTGCGGGGCCAGGGGACTCTTCTGTCCCTGGGGAGACCAGGGCTGCACTGAAACCTCAGAGGGCGTCCCCGTCACACAGGTGGGAGGAGTAAGCCCGCACTGCCGGGCACCTCTCCCCAGGAGCTGGGTGTGCAGGGCTGGTGATGACAGGTAGCCCTGGAGAGGGTGACAGGGGATGCTGAGGCCTAGCCTGGGGCAGGAGAGGACGCAGGTCTGCGCGCAGCTTTGGCCCTGCATGCTCGGGAGGCCCCGGTCTGTTGGAGGGCATAGCCCACAGGACAGGAGTGCGTGGCTGCCGAGGAGGAGGGGAGATGCAGTCAGAGTCAGGAAGATTTGTGCACCTTTTGTTCTGTTTTTAGCGTTTTAATGTAAATAAGTGCTACAGAGGAGCATGCACAAGAAAGGGGTGCTTGCTGCCTCGTCACGCAGCCTCTAGCTCACATTGCAGCCTCTGAGACCCATGCCCAGTCCCCGCCCAACCTCCCTGCGCGGTTCCCTTGAACGGCCCTGTTCCTGTCCCTCCGTGCGCTCAGGTCAGGGTGTCGGCCACATGCCCTCATGGGGGCTCTGGGGCGACGTTCCAGGCTCGGCCAGGCCACTGCAGGACAGAGGCTCCGCTCCCTCCTCACCTGCCCCTCCATCCTCTGAGCCCCCACGGTCAAGTCCCCCTAGTCTTTGGACCCCTCTGACCTCCTGCCTTCACTCAGGGAGAGTCTCTGCTCTGTCCACTCAGACGGTTATCTCGGCATCCCCGTCTGCAGCTCCATAACGTTGGCCACACATTTAGACTGAGTCCCTGGCCAGTTAGTGCTCACAGTTCTAGGGGTGAGGCATGGGCATCTCAGGGCCCTGGTCCTGCCTGCCACACACAGTGGTCCCACCCTCACATTTCTACATCCCCACGTGGCTCTGTCACCAGACACAGCATGAGTCCTGCCATCAGCTTAGCTTGAAACGTCTTCCGAGTCCCTTTGAATCTGTAATCCCCAGCCCCTCTTCCATCTCTCTCTGCTGGGGACAGACGTTTGGCCTGGTTGGCCTGGGTTCGCTTGGATCTTGCTGATGGCACCCTTGTGGCACTGTTCAGCGTGTTCCTCTGTTCCTGCAAGCTGGCTGTGGGTCCCGAGGTTCCCCATCTGGATGGTCTGTTGGGTGGAGCCGTCACTGTGTGCACTGGCTGTGCCGGCCAGCGTCAGGCCGTGAGAGGATGGGGTTTCTGGGACAAAGTCTTCTCCGGCTGAGCTCAGAGCGAGTGGAGGAGCTGAGAGGGGCAGCAGGCCACACGGCATGGTGTTCTCTCCCATGCCGAGGTTCTCAAGGGCAGGCAGTGGTACGGGGGCCTTCCGATGCCACTTCTCTGGACCCTGCCTGCTCTGCTATCACCTCTTTAGCAGGCACAGTGGCTGTGCCTTCAGTGTGGGGAGGGTCCTAGAGAATAACCTCCCTGTCCATCCCTAACACCCAGGCCGTACTTCGAAGGCCTGTCACACTCCAGCTCACAGACGGAGATCGGGAGCATCCACAGCGCCCGGAGCCAGAAGGAGCCGCCAAGTCCGGTGAGCAGCCCGCATCCTGGCAGCCCTGTACTCCCTATGGGGTCCTCGGGCAAGGGGTGGGCCGCCCTGATCCCTCTGTCTGTTGGAGTCACTCAGGTGGCTTACACATCGGTGCTGGACACACCAAAAGCTCAGCGTGCTCCTGGGTTTGCGGTGTGGTCCAAATCCCTGCCTGCTGCCAGGTGACGGTGGTGGGGTGGCCCTGAGCCCACGGGCTAGAAAACCTCAGCCAGTCTGCCTGGGCCGCCTCCGAGCCCAGGACCCCCTGCCCAGAGGTGAGCCAGCCTTAGTGCCCCCTGTTGAACACAGCCTGGTTCCCGTCTCATCCATACAGGCCGACGTGCCTGAGAAGACACGGGCCCTGGGAGGCAAGCAGCCAAGTGACAGCGTCTCCGACACGGTGGCCCCTGTAAGCAGGCATGGGGCTGCGTTCCCTTGTTCGAGCACGGCAGGGCGAGGCTGAACATGCAGGTCCTCCTGATCACACACCCAGTACTGCGCGCAGAGCCACGATGAGGGCCCCCTGGATTCCCCACCCGGGGGGACAGTCAAGACCCCCGGGATTCCCCCCACCCTGGCAGACAGTCAGGATCTCCTGGATTCACCCCAGCCCTGGGGGGACAGCAGGTGTCCCCCTGCTTCACAGTCAGGCACAGGCCTGGTGAACACCTGGTTGGCTCCTGCTGCCCGTGTGGGGGTTCTCAAGGAAAGTTTCCTGGGCGATGGGGCAAGTTTTAGGGAGATTTGGGGGAGGTTTGGTGTTGGTCTGCCCACGGCGGCCAGGACCTGGAGCCCTGTGGTTGGAGGTCGAGGTCAGCTTGGCTCCCCAGGGCAGCGTGTGGTGTGTCCACATGCAGGGAGCCACCAGCCCAGGGGCCCCAGGGGTATGAGAGTTCGGGCACCGGGGAGGAATCCCCGGCAGGGAGTGTGTTCCTGACGAGCTTCCTTCTCTGCCCATCAGAGCACACCCACCCCGGGGGAGCAGCCTGCACAGCCCTCGGACAGCACGGAGGTGGAAACCTCCACCCTGGACGTGTTCACCGAGAAGCTGCCGCCCAGCGGGCGCATCACCAAGACGGAGTCTCTCGTCATCCCCTCCACCAGGTGACGGCCGCCTGGGGGGCCATTGGCCAGGGGGTGTGAGAGGGAGGGACCCGTGAATCGAGGTCTGCGCGCCCCGTCGGGGCGGGGCCCATCTGGCCAGATGAGAATCTTTCAGGGCTCACTCCGGAGGTCCACACTGGACCCCCACACCCCCATTTGTAAGTAGCTGCTGGCAGATCTGACGGGGCCAGGGAGTGGCTGCCTGCTCCCAGGGCAGGGAAGGTCCCTGTCGCCCCTGTCTTGCATTTTTCTGGACCCAGCAGCATCAACTGGCACCCCCATGGGCCAGTGCATGTGCTGGGCGCTGTCTGCTCCAGTGGCGCCAGGCACCAGTGTAGGTAGAGTGTGCCCTGCTGAGCCCACGGGCAAGGCTCCGGGGGCAGCCGGGCCAGTGCCTGGTGAGGGCAAGCACAGCAGCCCTCGAGGAGTGGTGCTGAGTCCAACACAGGAGCTCTGCCGGGTGGCCCGGGGGTCCCAAGGCCCCTGCCTCCCAGAGTAGGTCACGATGTTGAGTGAGTGATGCATCAGAGGGGAGGGTCTGAGCTGCAGTGACTCAGGTGGTTTCCTGGGGGAGCATGCTCCCTCAGAGCCTCTCACGGGGCCCCACCCCACTGGTGTCTTGGTCAGACCCCGGCCGTCTCAGAGCCCTGCTTGGGGTGCCCTCTGGCCCCAGCTCTGCTGCGCCTTCCCTGGGCACCCGCCTTTGCCTGGCCACCCTCTGTGCCCTCGTGTGTGGTTGCCCTTCCCTGCTGAGGTTGGCCCACCACTGTGCCAGGGCCGCGGTTTCCACCCCGTTGCTGGGCTCGCTGGCCTGTGACCTTCCATGGGGTGGCCAGCCCCTGGAGGAACAGCAGAGGTGGCGTGGGCGCCCCTGCCACTCTCCCGGGGCTGCGGTCCCTGCAGCTGGCACTTGCGTGTTGCATCAGGCCTTACGCCCCCGTTTTAAAGCACGGGTGCCAAGTGTGGGTGTGGCCTCCACATCAGCCCTTCACCCCACGGATCAGCCCACGCTGCCCACTGGCCACCCTGCCACCCCGTGCGAATCATTCACAGAGAAGAGAAACGAAACCCAGCATTGACCCCTCGTTCCGTACTGAACCCTCAATACTAGCTTGTCACCTGGTGGGAGCTCCCGCCCCGGCCGTGAGAGCCAGCGGGACAGGCACATCAGCTACCTGATTCCATGGGTCTCGGTTTTGTTTCTGTGATGGTCAAGATTTTTCTGGAAGCAGTGGATATGGGTGCTGACATTTACCTGGTGGGGGCGCACAGGGGTCTGTGGCAGGGCTGGGAGTGGTCACTCTGAGGGCCAGGTTGCTGGGCACTGGCCTGCACCCGGCTTGTCCCAGGGTGGGGGTCTCAGTCCTCATAGGTGTCCCTGAGGTCCTCCTGTCGTCCGCCCAGCTTGATGACGAGGAAATGGAGCCATGTGTGGGGTCTTATTCAGGACACTGTGGGGCCGGGGTGCAAGCTCGGTCATGGGCCACTATTGCCACGCCCTCTGGGGTCAGTGGGCTCTGCGTGGCTTGTGGCCCCAATGCCCATCAGGTGACACTGTGACCATCCTTGGCTGCCTCTACCACTGAGTGGCCCCCTTCCCCAGGGCAGTGAGCATGTGGGCCTGCTCCAGCCTGTTCTGGTGCCCCACAGGTCCGAGGGGAAGCAGGCTGGCCGCCGGGGCCGGAGCACATCCTTGAAGGAGCGGCAGCCAGCACGGCCGCAGAACGAGCGGGCAAACAGTCTGGACAATGAGCGCTGCCCAGACACACGGAGCCAGCTGCAGGTGCGGGCGCCAGGGAGGGCGGGGGTCGAGGTGGGTGGTCACCCCAGGACCGACCCAGTGCTGGGCAGCTCAAGGGTGAGGACAGCCTGTTACTGGGAGGGCTTCTTCGGACAATGCGCTGCCTATGTGCCAGCCGCCCTGGTCCCGGGCAGCCCTGCTGCCTCGTGGGCTGTGATGGCCTCTGTCCCAAGCAAAGCCGAGTTCCTGCCCACTCCTGGGCGACTGCTGGGGCCGTGGGGCCAGCTGGGCAGGCAAGGGGGGCGGGCACAGTACCCCTCCCACCCTGTGTAGACGGGCCCTGTGTCTCCAGATCCCCAGGAAGACCGTGTATGACCAGTTAAACCACATCCTCATCTCCGACGACCAGCTCCCTGAAAACATCATCCTCGTCAACACCTCCGACTGGCAGGGGCAGGTGGGGAGGGGCGGGGCTTCCTCCCTGCAGGGTGGAGTGGGGGGACATGGCAGGGGGTGGGTGGTGGGGTGGGGTCCGGCCAGCCTGTGGGTGTGGATCTCTGTCCACCACAAGGTCACCAGTGAGGCTGGGTGGTAGCGGCTCTGTGCTCACCGCTGCCCTTGCCTTCAGTTCCTCTCGGACGTCCTGCAGCGGCACACGCTCCCCGTGGTGTGCACGTGCTCCGCGGCGGACGTCCAGGCCGCCTTCAGCACCATTGTCTCGCGGATACAGAGATAGTGAGTCCCGCGCCTTCCCGGCCGCCGAATGGCATCGCTGCCTGGGTATTTGTCAGGGTCCCTGCACTCCAGCCTGGCCTGTGGTTCCGTCTTGGGGGCTATGGCGGATTCCAGGCCTCGACCCAGAGGCACCACTCTCCTTTCTTTTCTCCGGATCCGGATCCGGGTGGGCGGGGGAGCAGCGGCCCAGGCGGAGTTCCCGCGGCACTGGGGGCCGCTGGCGGAGAAGCAGCCTCTGGTGGCTGCCCGGGTGAGGCTTAGGGCTCTGCTGTCAGAGGCTTGGGTTTCGGCGGCTCCATCCACCCGTGAGCAGCTGCAGCTCCGTCCAGGCGGAGAGGCCTGAGTTGGGGGGAGCAGGAGTGCAGCGCTCACTGCTGTCCTGAGCTGTGCGCCCTGGGCTCTGGGGCCTCACACGGCTTGGGGAGGGTGTCCTCGCGGCGGGGATGGTTCCCTGAGGCGTCTGTCCCCTCCATCCTGCCACGGACGCAGCTGCAACTGCAACTCGCAGCCCCCGACGCCTGTGAAGATCGCCGTGGCGGGTGCGCAGCATTACCTCAGCGCCATCCTGCGGCTCTTCGTGGAGCAGCTGTCCCACAAGACCCCAGACTGGCTGGGCTACATGCGCTTCCTCGTCATCCCCCTGGGTGAGGCCTGGGCGGCATCCTGACACCAGACACCACGGGCCTTAGACACCAGACACCGCGGCCTTGTGCATGCAGGGGTGCTGAGTCTAACTGTAGAAGCAGCAGCGTGGTGGTCCCAAAGCTGCCATGCTGGTGGGAGAACAAAGCCGCCCGCCCTCTGAGGTGCCTGTGCCGGGCGTCCCCTCTCGGTGCAGTCAGTTGTCAGTATGACTCGGTGCCAGTTGTGATTTCTGTTGTCAGAAATGCAAAGCAGGGGTAGCTATTAGTCCTTTAAAATTATCAAAATCCTGTGTCCTTGAACCCTGTTCATTTTTTGGTTTACACAGTTCATTTTACGTAAAACGAATCTGTAAGCCTCAACCTAGAAAGTGAAGTCCTAGAGCAGATTCCCTACAGCGCGAGACGCACTGGCGTCCCCGCGCCCTCTGTGGTCTGCAGGACAGCGTGGCCGCTGTCTGCCGAGGCTGCGGCAAAGCTGCTGTCATCAGGACCGGAGCTGGAGTTGTCAGGGAGGCAGAGCTGTGGGTGTGGGGTCTGCATGCCCTGACGCTCTCCCCTGGCTCGCAGGCTCCCACCCCGTAGCCAGATACCTGGGCTCCGTTGACTACCGCTACAACAACTTCTTCCAGGACCTGGCCTGGAGAGACCTGTTCAACAAGCTGGAGGCCCAGAGCGCCGGTGAGGCCCAGTGCACACGGCTTGGGGGGCCGCCCTTGTGTCCATACCACCACACCTCCATTAGAGGAAGGATCGTTTCCCCCTGAGACGAGACCCCCATGTGCTAGCCTCTTTCTCAGGCCCTGGCTGTGCCTGAGTGCCTGGGGGGGTCAGCAGACAGGGCCAGCGGGACCTCTGCCCAGATACTTCCCTCTGCCCACTGCGAGCCACAGAGCTTGTTGGTGGCCAGGGGGCTAGGCTGGGAGGGGCGGGGCCCCGGGCCCTGAGGAAGGGCTCTTCAGGGTTTGAAGAGGCCTTGCTGCCCTCACCCAGGACCCCATGAGGGTGGAGGGCACAGGGGCCCTCAGCTGCCCCCAGCATGGCCGCTGCTCCTGGACTCAGGGTGCTGAGCAGCCTCAGGGAAGCAGAGGTGGAGTGGGGCCAAGCACAGCGCCCCACGGACCCCAGCCGGCCTCCTCCTCATGCAGTGCAGGACACGCCAGACATCGTGTCGAGAATCACGCAGTACATCTCGGGGGCCAACTGTGCCCACCAGCTGCCTATTGCAGAGGCCATGCTGACCTACAAGCAGAAGAGGTACCTCGTTGGGCCCCGGGCCTGGGAGGGGTGCTGGGGGGCAAGAAGGCACCCAGCCTGTGCTGCAGACGCAGGCCACCCATAGCTGCCATCCCTCTGTGGGCCTCCCTGCCCACGGCTGGTCTTAGCCCAGGTGGCCTGTGTCCCAGCTCCTCGGGTGGCACGTTGGGGGCGCCATGGGATGGTGTGGGCAAGCCTGGTGGGTCACTGGATGGAGCCCAAGCTGGGTGAGCCAGGCAGCTCCTGGTCCTCTTCAACAAAGGACCCTTCACTGACCGCAAAGCAGAGTTAGAGTAAACTGTCGTGTTTTCTCTGTGTTTTTGTACATTTGGAATTGCCTGTAACAAAGTTACAGGAACAGTTGTCAGGGTGCCCAGCCCCTAGCAGTGACCTGCTCACTGGAACCCAGGCTCACACTCCCTCAGCTTTCTGGGCTTCCCGGCCAGGAGACACAGTCTTCCTCTGCCCAGAGCAGGATGGCAGTCGGGAGCCCTGGACTGGGGGCCAAGGTCGGGGGAGGTCCAGCTGCCTGGCCCAGGGGGGATGGAGCTGTGGCCCCTTCTTGGCCAGGCCTTGGACATGGCAGCCCCTCTGGGGAGTCCTGGGTAGGTAAAGGCCAGCCAGCGCAGGGGAGTGAGGTGGAAGGGCCGGAAGAGGCGGACAGTAGCCAGTCAGACAAAGTGAAGCATCTCTGCTCCCGTCTCGGGGATGTATGAGTCTCACCTCGAGCAGGAGATCAAGATTAAGTCAGAGCGTCTGCGAAGTGCAGCCGGACCAGCTCACAGCCCGATTCTTCCTCGCGCCGGGGCATGCCGTCCCTGGGCCGGAGCCTCTGCCAGAGGTGCCAGGCACGAGGCGCGTCGTGGCTCGGAGCGTGTGATGATGTGTCTGTTTTCTCTTTCGCTGGCTTGCTTTCTGATAGGAGAAAGAACTTTCACTTTGACTTTACCCTCAGGTACCGCTGTCTCTGGGTCTGCGCCCCTTCTGTCCCCGGGCTGGTCTTTAGGGCTGTTTAGCAGTGTCAGCAGGTGTGGGTGCGTCCCCAAAGGGCCACCACCCTCAGATTCACTGTCCCTCCTGCCTGCTTCCTGCTGGGAGTCAGGGGAGGTGGCGCTCCGTCAGGCTCCCACCGAGTCAGGAGAGCAACAGCCAGGCTGGTGCCGAGCCAGGCCAGCGCTCTCAGCCCCGACCCGTGTTTGATGACCCCAGAGCCCTGCACCTGGAGGTCAGGCCGGGCAGGCTCTCTCTTGTCTGTGTGAGTTCAGAGTTTTGGTGTAAGTGGCCAGATTTAGCCCCTCCATGAGTGTCTGTGTTTCTGAAGCCACGGGTGGCGCTACCTCTTAAATTAGAAGCAGGTGCCTGGGATCGCACCACGAGCGCCGACCACTGACCGCTGACGCCACACTTGTGTCGTGCGGGTTTTGTTCCCAGCATGGTGTGTTTAGTAACCCGGCTCACATGCTAACAGCCCTCGGAGGACGGCATTAATGCTGACTCTACACATGGGGCATCAAGGCAAGAGAGGATGGGGAGCTTGCCTGGGGTGATGCAGCGGTCAGCGGCCAGCTGGAGCCCGCTACACCTGGAGCCCAGCTCCCACCCCTGCACCTGGGGTGGCAGAGAGGCACAGAGGGTTTTTCCCAGCCGAGTTTCGTGGCTGACCTGGACAGTGGCCAGGTTGCTGAGACCCCCACGTGCGGGTGAAGGCTTTTCACCCCCGAGATGGCTCTGCTCTCTGAAAATCTGTGTGTTGAGAGCCAAACCTGGGCGCCCCCAGAGCTGGCCTTTCACGTGGGGTCCCCCCTTCCTGCCCCGATGTCCTGCCCATTGATCTCTCCCTCGGGGTGCTGTTCCACCCTGGTGTTGGGTTATTTAGCCTCCTGAGAGAGGCCCCCAGGGCAGGGTTGTTGGGTCCCAGGGCGCCTTCTTGCTGGGCCCTGGGACAGACCAGGAGGAGGAGTCTGAGCCCCTATGACTGTCCTGCTAAACAAGCCTTAGCGAGCTAGAGAAAGACCAGCCGTGTGTGCCCGCTGACCTCAGCCGTCCTCCAGGCGTGTGGCGTCTGCTCCCCGTGCATCCGCTGGGGCTCAAGGAGCCCGCAGCAGGCTTCACTGCCTGGCCGCAGCTTCTCGTCTCTCCCGCCGTCGGCCTGTCTGAGCAGCACCCGGGGCTTTAGGAGACTCTGTGCCTCCTGCCCCCACTCCTACGTGACAGTGGTGACACCAGTGCCCTGGTTGGGGGCTCTGATGCCCTGGATGGAGCCCTGTGAAGGCCCAGCGTGTTGGCTACCCTGGGAGCCTAGGGCTGGGAGGTCAGCATGTCAGCCTCTGCCTGCTCTGATAGAGAATGCCTTTCTGTCCACCCAGAGGGCTCAGGAGACCCAGGAGAGTGTGGGCAGTGGGCACGGCCCTCTTGGCCCCTGCCCTCTCCAGCCCAGCCCCCTCTGTGAGAGCATCTACAGGGAGGGTCCTGTCTACATGGCACCCAGCGCCCGGCCTGAGGTCAGACCCCTGAGGTCAGATCCTGAGGTCAGATCCTGCTGTTGGTCCCTGCCCACCTGCTGGGTGCGGCCCCGGCAGCTCCCCCAGGCAGCTCTGACAGGGACACTCAGTGCCCCTAGGTCCGGGCCATGTGGATCACGCCCCTGCAGTTTCTGTTGCCCCCATATTCAGGTCTCATGAGCCAGACTCGGGGTCCTCGCCCTGGAGCCGCGGGGTGAGCCTTAGTTCTGACTGCTGCCCCCGCCAAGAACACGTGTGTGCCCCTCTGCCTCCAGGGATCAGGTAAAGGGATCTCAGGAGCAAGCTGGTGTCACCCCTGTCACGCTGGGCACCTATCCAGTGCTGGCGTTGTCTGCATGGCCCAGAGGCACAGCTTAGCTTCGAGTCCCAGCAGCATCCCTTGTGGCGTCTCTGAATGTCGACCCTTGTCTGCCCCCTTGCGTCCTGGTCGTGGGGAGGGTCACGGGGGGCAGTGGCTCGCTGAGGGTGGGTGGCCCTTTGGGCCGGGGACCCCACGAGGACCGCCTGCCTTGTGCCACCTCGCATGCAGAAGCAGATGTGGGCACAGGATTCAGTTGCTTTATTATTTGAAATGGAAAAAAGGAGAAAGTTTTCAATAGTATTTCCCAGGGAAAGGAGGGAAAGGCTGGGAGTTTGGTTGTTTTCAGTGGGACAGACTGAATCTGTAGGTTCTTTCATCCAAAGACACTTGCTGAGTCTTCTGCAAGGGTGGGATGGGCGGTGCTGGGGTGGAGACCGCGGGTCCCCAGGTCCAGGTGGCACCTGGGGAGGGCCAGTCCTGCCAGCCGCTGTCTCCTTACATGGGTGCTGTGGCGCAGGGCACAGGGCAGAACCTCCTGCCAGGACCAGCCTTAGGCAGCTACACACTGCATTCTGTGCTGGCCCCTGGGCGAAGGCCACTTGTCCAGGTGATGGGCACACTTTGTCGGGAGTGCTGGCCAGGTGCAGGCCTCTGTCACCAGGGGCAAAGAGGCGGGGCCTGCAGGGCTCTGGGGAGACGAGGCTGCTGGCCAGGAGCTGGTGCTCAGGGAGGGCGGCTGAGCTGGGCCCGTGGCGCCTTCCCCCAGGTCTGCTTGCTGCAGGGGCTTCTCCCCAAATGACCCTGTGCCTGGTGATACCCCTCAGGCCAGCACATGGGCTCAGCAGCTGCTCCCCTGCACAGTGTGCATGTGCAGAGCCATCTGCAGAACAGTCGTTCTCTGGCCTCGGGCTCTGCGGCTGGGGAAATGACACAGAGGACGCGGAGCTGGGAGAATGGCCCAGAGAGGTAGGCCCTCAGCCAGGTGGACGCCACCAACCAAGGAAGTAGGAGCGAGGAGGCACCTCCGTCCCCTGAGGCTATGGGAGGGACAGAAGGCTCAGGACTGGCCCTGTCCTGTGGACCTTCCCAGAGGCCGGGAAGGAGATCTCTTCCAGTGGCCGATGGAGCCTCGTGTTCGAGTCCTGCGGGAGAGCCCTTGAGCCACAACCTAGGCCAAGGTGGAGACCAGGCAGTGGGCAGCCTGCTGCAGAGATGGGCTGCAGGAACCACCCCACCTGGGCCACGTGCCTCGGAGGAGGAAGACAAGGAGGGGTTTGCGTCCCCTCAGCCCCCACCGAGAGCCCTCGGACACTCGATGCCTTCACCCAGGATGCGTTGTGACTGGCGATCCCAGGGAGGCCGCGGTTCTGCCAGACGTTGTGCAGAGCAAGGTCCGGACGCAATGTCCGCTGTTCATCATGCAGCGGTCAGCTGACTGCAGCAGCACGGCCCGGAGAGCCTCCGTCTTGCCTCGGGCTGCTCTGGGGGCGTCGCTCTCTTAGAACGTGGCATGTGTACCCCATCACCAAGGGCCCTCCCCGCCTCGCCTCTCTAGTTGCCACTGACTTTACCCAGACTGGGAGAAAACCTCCACGTCCTGGCTTTGGGGCAGTCACCACCACTTACTGGAGGAGGCCCAGACTGTTCCCGGGGGGGCCTGGAGGCACACACAGCAAGCCTCTCTCTAGGGAACGAGCTGGCTTGCAGGGCTAGCGGAAAGGCTGTCGGGGCTGGGCTCGTGCCTCGTGCACCAGCAACCTGGGATGGAAAAGCAAATTCTTCCAGGAGGCTGCGACTCCCACCCTTCCTCTCTGAGCTGCCCCCACCAGCCTCTCGCTCCCTACTGGCCTCTTGACCTCCAGCGCAGAGAAATGTTTGCCCTTCCGGTCACGCTGGAAGGGATCCGGGTCCGGTGGTCCAGGCCGGGATGCACGTGGGCATGGCATGGGTGTGGCCTGGGGCAGGCAGGGCTGGGAGGCCAGGGGAGAGCTGGCCCTTGGCCCCGATGCTCTCCCCTGAAGGAATGGCTAACTGTCTGTGTCCTTGTTCTCAGCCCTGACGAGGAGTCCTCTCAGAAGTTCATTCCCTTCGTTGGGGTGAGTACCTCTTTGAGGGGCGGCTGACTTGCTGAAAGCATTCCTGCATTTGGCTGGCTTTACCTGCTTGGGAAACTATTAACCTGCCCAAACGTCTGTTATAATCAGTCTGTTTTTGCATTAATTTGATATATTCCAGAACTTTCTTTACCAGTCTGAGCTGAGGACTTGCCTCTAAATCCCTCCCATCTTAAAGCTCATTGTTTTTTCCCGTGTTGAGTGGGGGGTGGCCCAGGGGATATCAGTGTCCCCAGCCCTGCTTGGGTACTGACACGTGGAAGCAGACTGCCCGCTGGGGAGTGAGTTCCGTTATGTCAGACTCGGCTCTGCAGGCAGGTGGCTGGGGTGCAGGGCCTCAGGGCAGGTCCCACCCAGTGGGGTAGAGGTGTCTCTGTCCCTTAGGACCTACAGGATAGGAAGGGGTACTTCCTATCCAGCTTGCTCAGCTGGGATTTTGCCTGTAAATTGGGAGGTTTTCCATCTCCCACACCAGGATTAAGGGCTGCTCTGTGCCAGCTGGGTGGCTGTCCCTCTTCCACCCGCGTTTTCACAGCCTGTTATCCCACTGCGAGGCCTCCAGCCGGGGCGCCTGCTGTGAGAGCCATAGGCAACCTGGCCGATGGGGCCATCTGGCAGAGCAGGGCCTCTAGGCCTCGGTTTATCCTAGTCAGGTGTGTGGGGCAGCTGCCAGCCTTCCTGGGAGGGAATTAGTCCGGAGCAGCCTGTCCTGTGGAACCTTCTGTAGTGACAGGAGGGCCTGTGCTGATGGATCCACAGCAACAAGCCCCCCGTGGACACTTGAAATGCCACCACATGACTGAGGCATGAGTAGCTGTTGTAATTCACTTTAACTTTTCATAGCTCCCCTACCAGTCAGCACAGGTCTGGACCCCCATCAGCCCACACGGGGGTCTCGAGCAGCACCTGCCTGAGCCACGTGCCTGGTGCAGACCCCTGGGCACCTCTGTCCCTCGCTGGGCAGGGCTCCCTCACACCAGTGCCCCAATCTTGTCCACGCCCGGGTCTCACCAGTCACGCAGGCTCACAGTTTGCTGAGGGGGCCGAGAGGCTCGGCCATTGGGAGAGGCACATCCCTCCTGCTGGAGGCCATGTGCATCCTGAGTATTGGCTGTAGCTCGGGGCCAGGCCAGGGGCCAGCTGGCAGCTGTGGACCCCGTGGGGCCTGTGCCTCCCTCCCGGGAGTGCAGGAAGCCACAAAGCTGTGCAACTCGAGGGAGTCTCCCAAATATGCCCCTTGCAGGGGAGGGTCCCTCGCCGTGGCCGTGCCATGGCTGACCACCTGGGCAGTGGCCACCCTGAGCTCAGCTCTGCCCCACGGACAGGAGGGGCTGGGACCCAGCTCCCCCCCAGGAGTTCCTGTGGGAGGGGGCATGGCGGCCGGGGGGCAGCAGGAAGACAGGGCGCTGCCTGGATCTGGAGCCCCGGCATGCATGGTGGGGCTGGTCGTAACCCCATGCCACTGCCAGCCAGCCTCCCGTTGCTTTCCAGGTGGTAAAGGTTGGAATAGTGGAACCGTCCTCCGCCACGTCAGGTAACCCTGTCTTCCCCATCCTCAGGGCCAGGGCGCAGGGAGGGCAGGGGCGGCCCCCAGCATGCCGGCCTCTGTGGGGTCTGAGAGCAGGGCCACGTCTCGGTGGTGGGGGGACGCCCCTGCCCCACAGTCCATACCTCGCTGCAGTGCTTCTGCTCACGCGGATGGGGCGGCCCTGCCACAAGAGGCCTGGCCCCTCCTCCCCAGCCTGCGGGCTGCCCAGCCTCCTTGCCGCGTCCTGGTCTGGAGGGCCCAGGGCTGCTCCAGGGGCAGAGCAGCAGGCGAGCTCAGTGCTGACCCTGACTCCTTCCCGAAGGCGACTCGGATGACGCGGCCCCCTCGGGCTCCAGTGTGCTCTCATCCACCCCACCGTCCACGTCTCCTGCGGCCAAGGAGGCCTCGCCCACCCCGCCCTCCTCCCCGTCGGTGAGCGGGGGCCTGTCCTCCCCCAGGTAATGCAGCCACGAGGGGCAGACTCCTGCTTTACTGGTCCAGGCGCCCCACCCCCACTCCCTGGACGTGCTGCCCACCTGACTCATGTCGTCCATGCCCCAACGCAGCAGGGACTCGAGTTAGAGAACACTGGTAGTTACTCGTGGTCACTGGCCACATCCCTGGGGTACCAGGAAGCTGAGGGACGTGCTGAAGGCTGTGCTCAGAGTGGTCTTGGGGAGGGCACGGTGTTGACCAGAGCACCAAGAGGACACGGGCCACTCGGACAAGGACGCCCAGTGGGAGTGGTGGGCGCAGCAGACTTGGGGGATGGCCAGATCCTGGCCTGGTATCTCCCCAGTGCCCTGGGGACGGAAACCACAGAGAGTAAACAGGTGGGTGTGCCCTGCACATAGACGGGGGTTTGGAAACTGAGACATGGAGAGAAGGTGTAGAAGACAACGGGTGGCTGGTCAGCAGCCCCTCTTGGCTGCTTCTGTGACCAGAACTCCCCCAACAACACTGCTGTGGGGTCTGGGGGGTCAGTGCACCCTCGTGGGCCATGTTGCAGGGCTCCCCTAACTCCCATGGGCTGCACCTCTGACAGGCTGGTTGACCTGGGCCCTCCAAGCTCAAAGGGGCAGCTTGGGAGAGCAGGAGGGCAGCAGGCCTGGGTGCTCCTGGGTGACCCCAGCATCGCGACTATGCCAGGGCCACAGGCACAGACTGGGCTGTCTCAGGAGACCAGGGACGGCCCCACAGTGGGCTCCCGGCTCCAGGCTCCCCTCGGCTGGCCAGCCACTGTAGCATTCCCCTAAGTCGGGCAGCACAGGCACCAGCTGGCACCTCCTCACCTGTGCCAGCCACAGGGACACCCCCGTCACCGACCAGGACAGAGGGTGAGCCTCCCTCTGCTTTCACAGCCAGGGCATCGGCGCTGAGCTGATGGGGCTGCAGGTGGATTACTGGACGGCAGCCCCGCCCGCAGACAGGAAGAGAGATGCAGAGAAGAAGGACCTGCCTGCCACCAAAAACACGCTCAAGTGCACCTTCCGGTCTCTCCAGGTCAGCAGGCTGCCCAGCAGTGGCGAGGCCGCAGCCACGCCCACCATGTCCATGACCGTGGTCACCAAGGAGAAGAACAAGAAGGGTGAGGTGGGGGTGGCGGGCTGACTGCTGGGACATTCGAGGGGCGGCCATGCAGGTGTGGGGGCCGCTTTGGACCAGAGCCCCGAGCAGAGGCCACATGGGCGGGTGGGAGGGCAGGTGGCCTCAGTCACAGCAGAAAGTGGGCATCCCGGGCGAGCAGGGGTCCAAGGGCTGAGCCCGGCAGCCCCCTCCCCGGGCCCTGAGGAGCCTCAGGACAGCACAGCCCCTTTCCCTCCTAGTGATGTTTTTGCCCAAGAAAACCAAGGACAAGGACGTGGAGTCCAAAAGCCAGTGCATCGAGGGCATCAGCCGCCTGATCTGCACGGCCAAGCACCAGCAGAACATGCTGCGGGGTGAGCGCGGGCCTCCCGGCACTCACGGGAGGTCACTTGTCAGATGTCCTTCCCTCAGTGGGGAACCCTTGGGGAGGTGGGTCTTTGACCCAAGGTCCTGTGGGTTCTTCTGTAAAATATGCACGTAAACCAGAGGCGAAGTGGGCCGCCTTTTTAAATTGCCTACAGGAAATGCTTTTGTTTTGCTATGAAACACTTATTACATAATTCCAGCTTGGAATACATCTGGATAAGGCCCCGTGTGCATGTAACAGCTTTTCAAATTCTAGCCAATAATTTCTTAATCCTTTCTGCTTTTTTAAGATTGATTTATGTATATCAGACTTGTTATACAGTATTCTGCAACCAACTGATTCAGAATATGGAGCTCTCGAGGTTTTTGTCTTCTTGTGAGCTTGAGTCTGATGACCACGGTGGTCGAGAACCTCCCGGTCTCCCTCCCTTGATCTTCTGGTTTGCGTGGAGGGTGCTCAAAGCCCGCTTTGCAGACCCGTGCTGGGGCAGAGGGGCATGTGGATGAGCAGCTCCCCGCAGTCAGGGAGAGGCTGGCCCCAGCGGGTAGCTCGGAGCCAGGGGAGGGCAGGCGGCAGAAAGGACTGGCCAGCAGGTTGGCGTGGGGGTCCCTGGGGATGTCAGGCCCTCCAGCCTTCTTGTCCTCTGCGCTGGCTGGGAGGAGGGATGGCACGCTCGCTGGCCTGGCGGGCACCTGGTCACGTGCTCTTGTCCCCGCAGTCCTCATCGACGGCGTGGAGTGGAACGACGTCAAGTTCTTCCAGCTGGCGGCCCAGTGGTCCTCCCACGTCAAGCACTTCCCCATCTGCATCTTCGGACACTCCAAGTCCACCTTCTAGCCTGGCCCACCGTGGGGCTGCCAGCTCCCCACCCTGGAGCCCTGCGATGGCTGAGCCGGGAGGGCCCAACTGCTTTTCTGTTAACATTTCAGTTTACTACAGAGACAGACCCTTAAAAACACAAAGAAAAACAGTCTTAAGTATGAATGTGCTCACAACCTGGAAACTAATGGGGCGGCTCCCCACTGGGAGCCCGTAACTGCTCTGCTTATTAACCAGAATGTTCTGACAGGGGTGGGAGGTCAGGCGGACAGTGTTGAGCTTGAGAATCGTGGAAGGTGTTTTTTGGCCTCAGGACACCCCGAGTCCCCCAGCAAGAAGGGTTCTCGCCTTTGCGTCCTGTCCTTGAAAGCCAGGACTCTGCTTCCTCAGGGAGCCAGGGTCAGGCGGGCGGCCGCACAGACCCCCAGGCTGCCTGTGTGCCCAGGCCACGTGCCCAGGTCCAGAGCTGGGTGGCCAGAGGCTGAAGGCTGGCCTCCTGGTGGGGGCGTCCTGAACAGAACACAGAAGCAGGTCAGCCCAGCCCTGGGCCCCAGCACCGGCCACTCGTGGTTCCCAATAAGCCCCAGCCTCAAGGGGCGGCAGAGGTTTTATAGTAGCGGATATTTTTAATGCTTTTAAATACATGTTACAATGTAGCTGCCGAACAGACTGCTCTTCTGAAGTCCCAGCGGCCCTCAGGGCTGGGGCAGAGCCAGCCAGCACTGCCCACGTCCCAGCCCCAACGCCTGCCTGCCCCCACGGGCTGTTCCTGAGACACTGCTATGCTTCTGCGAGTTGTCCCTGCCCCAAACTCAGCAAGCACAGTGGCCCCTGCAGCAGGCCCTGGCCCACTCAGCCTCCTGCTGCTGCCCCCTCCAGCCTCACCTGCTAGCTGTGGGGCATCTGGGCCAGCCGACCAGGTGTGTGTGTGTCACCTGTAGCACTAAAATGGCCAGTGAATGCTTAGGTGAGGCGGCCTGATCACAGGGGCTAGGCACTGTTGAAGCCTTGGGTGCAGCGGGGGCCACCTCGCAGAGGCTGGGGGCCCTGGCTTCTCTAGGCCAAGCTCCTCAGAGCAAGGTTCTGGGTTTGGGTCCCATGCTGGGTGGCAGCCTCGCCCTCTGCCTTCCCATGCAGCATCCTAACCACAGCCAGGGGCCTCCCCAGTCCTGCTGCTCCCCCCCGACCCCTGCACCCCCTGTCTTCACAGGAAGAGCCCACCACTCCTGCCTCTTGGCAGCTGTGGCCCTGGCGGCCCTCCCAGGGGACTGTGGGCCTGGTTTGCTAAGGCCGAGAGCCACACAGGCTGTGCTCAGAAAACAGTACCAAGGGCAGGACAGGCTGCAGGCCGCCCCATTCCTCCCGAGGACAGGCCTCACCAACAGCCTGCGGCACAGAGGGGTTCCATCCTCAGGGGGTGGAAGATGGCCCGTTTTTCTTACCTGTGACCTACCTGCTTACCTCCTCCCCCAGGCGGCTGTACAGGGTCCGAGTGTCCATGGCCAAGGGCCTTGGGGCTAGTTGGTGGACAGAACTTGGGCATGACCTTCAATGCAGCCCTCACCTCGGGTGCCTGCAGGCAGAATGCTGCGCAGGGGCACCCCTCCCCACAAGAGCTCCTCCTCCCTGAAATATGCCTCCTCTGAGGGCTCCTGGGACCAGGGGCCTGAGGCTACACCCTGGCTTGTAGCCTTCCCTCCCTAGGAAGGACCTGTGGCGAGGGTGCATGCCCCTGAGCCGACGGCCCTCAGGCAACCAGTGCAGCATCCACCTGCGGCTGCACCCAGAAGCAAGCCTTGGGACCGGAGCCTCCCTACCTACCCTCGTTCCTGCCACTGGGCTCCAGGGCTGTGGTCATTGCTCCTCAAGTTTCCTTTCCAAAGGTCACACTCAACAGGAAAGAGGTGCAGGCAAAACACCCTTGGCTTAGCTTTCTAGCTGCAGAGCTGGTTTTAGAGGAAGGGCCAAGGGGCCTGTCCCGTCCATCCCAGCTATGGGCTGCCCCTTTCCTGGAGCTGTCCTCCCCAACATCCCTCCATGGCTGTGTGTACACTAGAGAGGAGGACACCCAGTGCCTCCACCCTCTGCCCCCGGGTCCCTTGCTGAGTGCCATAGGGCCCACCCGCCACACCATCCCTGGGTCCAGAGGTCATGTAGCTGGCCCCAGCCACACAACTCACTTGGAGATCTGGGCTGCACACACCTGTGCCTTGGTCTGCCCATTGGCTAACTAGGGATGGTCACATCTCCTCTGCCTACCTCGTGGAGCTGTTCTGAGGGTACACATAAAAGCACTTTGTCACTCAAAGGAGGATGACCCAGAAGCTGAAGCCGTCCACAACTGAGCCATGCGCCATGAGCGGGGGGTGGGGGGGGGCACAGGACAGGAGCTGACCCCCAGAGCAAGGGTTCTCAGCCCATTGGGTGACCAGAGGTACCTAGGACTCAAAGGTTAAGGTCCTGGTCATGGTCAGGCCACACCAGGCTCCTTGAGGCCTGGCTGCCACTGTCCAGCGTGGTGTGGGCAGGCTCTGCCCTCGCTGTGAAGCCTGGCCCACCACTTTCTCCCTCAACCATCTCAGGTCCCCTGGGTCACCGTCTCCTCAGGGCATGCAGGCCAGTGTCCTGAGTCAGTGTCACCACCAACCGCAGCTCAGGGAGGAGAGGGCCCCTGGGCGCAGAGCCAAGTGTCTCTGTGCAGAGGCTGGAGGGATCAGAGTGGCCAAGGCTAGCTTTGCTGCACTGTCCTCGCTCCCAGTGGGAAGACCTGACTGGCCTCTGGGGTCTGGCCTTTGTCCAGGAACAGATTCCTCGGGACAAGACCCGAGCTGCTTGCTTCCGAGGGCCAGCTGCCTGACCTACACCTGTTTCTTGACTCCCTCCCCAGGCCGGCCCTGTCCTCTGTGGAGTGGGGAGGGAGAACCTGTCCCTGGCAAGGGCCTGCAGGAGCCTTAGGGCTGGGCTTGGTGGCACCCCGGGGGTCTGCCCCTGCAGGCCAAAGGGTGCCACTGTGCGTTTCTGAAGCCCGCTATCCAGTTCATTGTGCATTGTTTGGTTTCTAGGATGTACGTGTTGCTAGTTTGGGTTTTTTTTTTTTTTTTTAATGGAAAACAAGATTAATGTAAATAACCTTTTTGGGGAACAGATTCTAATCTGTCACGTATGTGACCACGTGGACTATTTTAAGGTGCTGATGCGACACTAATAAACCTGGGGAGCACTCCCCCGGGCCCTCCCTTGCCTGCTATGTGATTCCTCGCGGCGGCCACAGCCCCCACCCTGACCCTCCGTCCGTCCGGGCGCCAGCTCCGCCCTGTGTCCGCGCTGCGGGCGGCGCTCCGAGGTCCCCACGGGGAAACGGCGTCGGCGCCGCGGGGAAGGGGATCGGGGCACCGTGGGGACGAGGAGCCGCGGGCGCACGGCCCAGGAGGGCTCCGGTCGAGGAATCCGAAGTTCCGGTCTGCGCCGTGGATGGGTGGGGGCGTCTGCGAGGCGAGCAACTCTGAGCGGCGTGGGGCCTGGACTCCGGGAGACCCCGAGAGGAGCTCTCGGGCGACAGACCGCAGGAACGGACTGGGTCTGCGTGACTGTTCCCCCACGGCGGGAAAAGCGGAACCCACGGCCCCCCCTGACATCCGGAGACCAGGGCGCAGGCGCGGGGCTGCCGGAAGCGGAGGCGGCGAGGCGGGGCTTGCCGGAGCGGCAGTTCTCCGAACTCGGCTCCGCCCCCTCGGGCCCCACCCCTACTCTTTGACCCTCCTACCGCAGAGGCCCGCCCCTCCCACCCCTCCCCCGCCTCCGCACCCCAGTGTATCCCGCCCTTCCCCCAACGCCGCACCCTTGTGTACGCCGCTGCTGCCCCATAATACCCCAGT